TTTTTTTCAATTCGACATGATTTAAAATAAAAGTTGCATGTAACAATATCTCTTACAAAACCAAATTGTTAAATGTCTTACAAAATCCAACTTGTGCATACTATCTTAAAGAAACCCAAACTAATTAATGTCTTACAAAAAGAAAAGCCAAATAACGAGTCATCCTAAATAGTAATCAACCTAAGCTAGTGAAATCATCATCTCGTCCTTGATCCTCCCTATGTTGGTTGGTTGATGGTGTTGTTGATGCTTGAACTGCCTGAATTATTTGCCTCATCATCTCTGTTAATTGTGTTTGCAAAAAAGAGGCCAATGCATTATTTATAACTATAGTGACTCGTTCTTCTGTCATAGGCCTAAGATTTGTAGAGGAACCTGCAACCTCTGGAGATGAAGCTTGGGTAGAGCTACTAGTTCCAAGATCCAAGCTATGTCCCATGTCATACACTCTTTTCTTATTGTTTTCACCTGCAGCTTTTAACCAAAGATCAGAATCAATTACAAGATGAGATGAAGTGTCTTCTCCATATTTTTGTGTCATTGATTCTTCATATGTTCCTACAAATAATAAACAAAAAAAATAAGTGAAATAGCAAGAGGTTAAAAAAGTACATAATCAATCTTAAAATATAAAATAACATACAATAAATTTGTTTGCCCTAGTTGAGACAAATTCACCATCATTTTTTTTGTGAACTTTGTTATACACTTCACGATAAGAAACATGACGATTCTGTTGACTAGGAAATCCACAAACAAAAAGGGTAGCCTAGGCAAAAGTGAGGATCAAAGAAAAAAAAGGAAAATGTCTGCTAGGGAACACATCTCAACTAACCTAGGCAAAAGTTAGGACAAAGCAGCATCCCGAGCTGAAAACCGAAAGGCGGCTCGATAAGATCATTTAATCAATATGCAATCCCAAGTCATCGCTTAACTTTGAAGGAAATAATAAGCTAACGCGGAAAATGATTTCCTCACTTTGAATGTGCTTGTTCATCAGCCTAAACCACTAGCCTACCTCGGCCAGCCATTCTTCTATAAACCATTTTTGAAAAAATCCTTTCTAACAAAACTTTTACAAAAAAAATATGTATATATATCCCCTTCCTCTCATTCCTCTTGACCTACATGGCATTAAGATAAATTTGAAAGATACACGGAATATGCACAGTGAACACTCACAAGGAAAAGATGGAGGTGTCCTAGAACAGAGTCTAGGTACACCTGATCTAAGGGCTAACATATCATATTCGGTACAAGCGAGAGGGCCGAACTACACAAACCTCAGGTTCAAAAAAGCAACACTAAATTCGACACGGCTAAAAGGCTAACAATCCATGTCATTGATCAATGCGCATAGATTAATTTCTTGAAAGTAAAATCAATCTGCATTTAAGCATTAGCATAGAGGCATCATTGCATAGCATGCATAGGGCACAAGTGTGCACAAAAGGGTATAACTTCACTTTACAAAAAAAAAATAATAAAATAATATAATAAAAAATCCAATCCATTCCTGTCTTGCATTTTCATGTGCATCCATGCATCCATACTCACCATGGGGCATCCATCAACAATCAAACAATCAATCATCAATAAATCAAAAGGACTCCGCAACAAGCGCCTGGAGAGGCATCACAATACTTACACGGGGCAGCACCAGAATTCCCGTCACCCATCCACTTTGCCCACCAACACAGGGGCACATCAAACATCTCCTGCCCATCCACCTAGGGGCAGTCTTTCATCCCACAACACCAACAAGAAAAGCCAAAAAGGAAACACAAATTCCAATTGACAGCATTTGAACAAAAGACAAAAGCAACCCAAATTAGAGGCATCACGACACACCTCCTGCCCAACATCCTTGGGGCAATATCTACCAAAATTCAAGCAAACCAATGAGGGCACCGACAGTTTCCTCAAAATACAACAAAGGTCTGGAGAGACTGTACTCGCATCCCAATCCGGTATACGACAAAGCCGTGAGGGAAAGGTCTGGAGAGACTGTAGTCATCTCCCAATCCGGTATACGACAAAGCCGTGAGGGAAACTGAGCTACAAAAATACTCCCTCTTCAACAAGCTACAAATAAAGGAATGCACTATCACAAGAGAAACAATGGAGCATCTACTTGAAGATCGAAGATCAGGTGTACAGCTCGTCAACCTTGTTACCTAATAGAGTATGCAACCAACACTCAAATGCTCTAAAGGGTGAGGACACGAGCAAACAAACCTATCCAAGAGAAGGAACATAGAAGCGCCAACACGAAAGAGACGAGGAGGAGACCCGGATGAAATTTCTACGTCTTTACTTGACTTTGAAAAAGCAACACACAGCTACTCCAAAGGACAAGTAAAGAGGGGCAGCTGTAGACACCCAATTTCGTCCGGGGGCACACAAACAAGGAAATGGACCTCCGTTGTGAAGGAAAGGAGCTCCCGAAGCATGGAAACAACAAGAGATGACATCCCAGAACGGCTCGTTCCAGGTTCTTATTTTACCTATAATAAACTTGCCCAGAACGGGCCGTTCTAAAACTGGAACGGGTCGTTCCCCTGGTTTGGAACGGGCCGTTCCACTTTTGGAACGGGCCGTTCCAGTGTCTTATTTTACCTATAACGGATTAGCCCAGAATGGGCCGTTCCGAATCCAGAACGGGCCGTTCTGGTCCCCTTCTGATTCCTATAAATAGGAGCCTTGGGCACAGTTTTCTGGGCAGCTAGAGAAATTTTGAATAAGACTCCTTTGAGCACGAAAATTCTGTATTTCTCTCCTTTCTATTATATTTCTTGAAATTTGTGTCGCATCTCTATATTCTCTCTCCCCCTTATTGTATTTCTTGAGATCTGTGAGGTATACTGTAGTGTGAAAGGTCGCCACAAAGCACATTCTCGATATTTGTAGATTCAATAAAGCTCGTTCAAGAGGTATTTTAGTCAATCTTCTTCTCTTCCTTTTATTTCTCATCTTTATCTCTTTTTTCGTTATAATAAATGTCATGTAGATATTTTAGTGTTAATTGCTTAATTTATATTTTAATTATGTAAATAAATATCAATAAAGGGGACTTAATATTTAATTTATTAATTCTTATCATGTTAACTTCATCATAGGGTACCGATTGAGGGCATTGTAGGGGTGCTTAATACCTTCCCTACACGTAATCGACTCCCGAACCCAACTTTGGTTATCAAGGCCATAGTTGGATCTTTAAAAAATACCTTTCTTTTTCCAATGTTTTGAGTAAAATATTGGTGGCGACTCCATGAACCTATTTTCAAAACCATTAATTAAGGATTAGTCTAGTGTCCGGGCATTCCTTAATTAATGAGACTTTTAAAAGGATGTCTAAATCATAGGTCGCAAGATCGGAAATTTTCGGGTTGCGACACCACCCCCACTTCGGAACAATCGACGTACCCAGCGAAGGAGGCTCACCAATCTTGCCCAGCAGATCGTTCCTCACGACCGATCTCTAGTAAGAACATTTGATGCCCACCATGGGGCCGATCAAGACATCTCTTATCGGCCACGCTTATGGTTTTCATCCAAAGCCATAATAGACGAGCAACAGACGAACAAGATCATGCAACAAGAATGGAAGGAGAAGTGACATTGAGACGGTTGATCGAGTAGGTCGATTAAATGCGAAAACAACAGGCCGCCGACCTGGAGAACATTCGCGCCTGACACGAAGCTGACCTAGCGATGCTACGAGATGAGAATGAGCGCATCCGCACCCAGCTTCCTCAACGCCCCCCTGATTAGCCCCCTCAACTAAGCAATCAAAACAAGGAAGAAGGGCACTCAATTTCCCAGCCACCAACTGCACCCAGGGCGGTGACCCATAGGTCTACTGCACATCGGTCACACGTATCGACGTACAGGTTAGATCATGGAGTCAGCAATGCACCTGCCCAAGCTCCAGGACATAGGGGAGCATCCACCATCATCCTTTTGTTGACAGTATCATGGAGACACCCTTTCCTTTTGGATGGAAGCCTCTCAACATCGACCGCTATGATGGCACTATCGACCCAGATGAGCACGTTGATCTGTACGTCACGCAAGTAAACCTATACACTAACGATGATGCTATCCTGTGTAGGGTTTTTCTGACCTCGCTCAAGGGGTCGGCACTCGCCTAGTATACTCAATTGCCAACGGGATCAGTCGATAGCTTCGACACTCTGGTGAGGCGATTCACGGCGCAGTACGCAACGAGTCGACCACATCACATCACGTCCGCTGCCTTGGCCAGCCTCAGACAAGGCGACGATGAACCATTGAGGACATTCATGGAGCACTTTGCCGGCATCTCTGTCAAAATCCGCAACCTAAACCCCGAGATCGCCCTACATGCCATGCTCATGGTGCTCAAGTCAGGACCTTTCATTGACAGCCTTTTTCAGCGACCTCCCTCAAACATGGACGAACTCCATGCCCGAGCTGCGGGGTACATTCAGATGGAAGAGCACACTACTTTCCGTGACCAAGTTCGTGAGAAACCACAGGGAAAGCCAGACCATGGCCACAAAGATAAGGTAAAAGTCACCAACGATAGCCAATTCAAGAAGGCTAGGCTGAACAAAGGAGGGAGGTATGACTTCTACACCCCCTTGAGCGCACCCCGAGTACATATCTTGGAGGAGGCCAGCAATACCAACCTGATTACTCTGCCAGCGCCTGGGCACAGCCCCAGTAGCGCCGACAAATCCAAGCATTATCGATACCATAGAAACTATGGTCACACAACCGAGGAATGTCGCACACTCAGAGATCGCATTGAGGAACTCGTCCAAGGAGGGCACCTTGGACAATACGTCCACCGGCAACAATCTCATAGAGGAGGCTACCATGGACGAGGACGAGGAAGAGGCCGAGGTTCCGGCACTCGCACAGATCAACCGTCCAGATCTCAGCAAAACATCGACGGAGTAGTGCAGCCGAGGTAAGTCATGATATAGGAATGACTCCCTTACAAGGAGTCATCAATACAATTGCAGGTGGCTTCGCAGGGGGAGGCTCCAGTAGCTTAGCGCGTAAAAGACACTGACGGAGCATCAACCACGTCCACGCTGACACCTCGGACCTGCACCGCAACACACCACCCATCACCTTCACGGATGATGACTACACGGGCATTTGCCTAAACCAAGACGACCCCATGGTCATCGCGGTGGAGGTAGCTAACTAGGAGGTCCACAAGACATTGATTGACCAAGGAAGCTCAGCCGACGTCCTATATTGGCCAACATTCCTAAGGTTAGACGTCCCCCATTCCCTGATCCAAACTAACACAAAGCCCCTAGTTGGTTTTGCAGGTGAACGAGTCCACACCCGAGGATACATAGACCTGCTAATAACCTTCGGGACCCCTCCCGAATCAAGGAGGATCATGGTTAGGTACCTCCTCATTGAAGCCAACACGTCGTATAACATTATCATCAGCAGGCCGACATTGAACCAACTTGGAGCTGTGGTATCTACCCCGCACTTGACGATGAAATTCCCAGGGAGCTATGACAAGATCATCTCAGTTAGGGCAAACCAGAAAACGGCTCGACAATGTTATGCCAAAAACTTGAAGGTTTTGCCATTAGAGGAGCACCGCCGACGTGACCCCCTACTATCGCTCATATCACTCAAGAGGACATCACTAACCTGGACCCGAGGTCAGAATCCCATGACAACCGACCAAGTCTAATTGATAAGCTTGCTGACCTGCAAATCAGAAAGCTCCCCGGCCAATGCACCAAGATAAGCCAACATTTGAGCACGGAGTTACGTCAACAACTTGAAGCCGAAATCTCCAAAAATGTCGACCTCTTTGCATGGTCCAGCACCGACATGCCAGGTATAGACCCTAACTTTATTTGTCACAGATTGGCAATCCACAAAGAGGCAAAACTGGTGGCCTAGAGGAAATAGAAGGTCGACGGTGATAGACGAGAAGCTATCATAGCTGAAATGAAAAAGCTAATAAAGGCAGGGTTCATCTGAGAAGTCCGATACACCACGTGGCTAGCGAATGAGATACTTGTTAAAAAGAACTTAGGGAAGTGGCGTATGTGCGTCGACTACACCAACCTGAACAAGGCTTGGCCTAAAGATGCCTACCCCTTACCAAGCATTGACAGATTGGTTGATGGAGCATCCGGCCACGCCCTCTTTAGCTTTCTGGACGCTTATTCCAGGTACAATCAGATTATGATGTACCCACTGGACGAGGTGCACATGTCGTTCATCACCGACCACGCCAACTTCTACTACCGCGTGATGCCGTTTGGCCTTAAAAATGTGGGAGCTACCTATCAAAGGCTGATGGACAAAGTTTTCCACTAACAGATTGGATGGAACATGGAAGTCTACGTAGACAACATGGTCGTCAAGACCACATTGGCTGATACCCATGTTGCCGACCTAGCCGAAGTATTTAATCAAATACGGAAGCACAACATGCGCTTGAACCCTGAATAGTGCGTCTTCGGAGTCCAGGGGGTAAGTTCCTCGATTTCATGATCACCCATAGGGGTATTGAAGCCAACCCGAAAAAATGCAAGGCCATCATACAGATGCATAGCCCCCACAATGTCAAAGATTTCCAATGCTTGGCAGGAAGGTTAGTCTCTCTTTCTCGTTTCATTCCCAGGTTGGCAGAGAAAACAAGACCTATCTTCACCCTGCTCCGCAAGCCAAAAAACATTGAGTGGACTGACCAATGCGAAGAATCTTTCAAAAGCTTCAAAACTTTCCTCCCCCCCCTGCCAGTCCTACAAAGGTCGGATCATCATTCCGACCTCCTCTTGTACTTGGCAGTCAGGGAGAGTGTGATCAGTGCGGTGATGGTGCAAGAGCGCGACAAGAACCAAACCCCTATATACTATATCAGCCGAGTTCTTCAAGATATAGAGAAAAGATACCAAACAATTGAGAAGTTGGCCTTAGCATTGGTCACCTCGGCCCGACGCCTCTGGCTCTATTTTCAAAGCCACTAAATCGTCATCAAAATGGACTACCCAATCCAGCGAATACTAAGGAAGCCAGAACTCGTCGGGCGCATGATAGCATGGTCAGTGGAGTTGTCCGAGTTCAGAATCCGATATGAAAGTCGAGGCCCCTTGAAGGCTCAATGCCTAGCAGACTTCGTGGCCGAACTCACTCCCACCTTAGCAGAAGAAAAGCAGGTATGGACTCTATACGTTGATGGATCTTCCAACACTAAAGGTGGTGGTGCAGGTATCATTTTGGAAGGACCTAACAATGTCACCATAGAACAGTCCCTCAAATTCGGATTCAGAGTCACTAATAACCAAGCAGAGTACGAAGCATTACTTGCAGGACTGAGGTTGGCTCACGACCTCGGAGGGCAAAGGGTCAGTTGCAACAGTGACTCGAAACTCATGGTAGAACAACTCAATGGGGCATACCAGACCAAGGACACCCTACTACAAAGGTACTTTCATGCAGCATCCCAGCGGATCTCATCCTTTGATGAGTTCACCATACACCATGTGCCCCGAGAGCAAAATGTCAGAGCTGATCTCCTGTCTAAGCTCGCTAGTACAAAGTGCCCAGGACAACATCAGGCCATCATCCAAGAGACTCTAAATTCTCCCAGTCTAGATGATAAAGTCGTCAACGCCAATGATAATGAAGACCAAGGATGGATGACGGGTATATGGAGCTACTTAAAGGAGGGAACTCTACCCGAAGACAAAGACAAAGCTCGAAAGATAAGGGTAAGGTCGTCCAAGTTTGTTATCGTCGGAGATGAGCTGTTCAAACGCGGCATCTTGACTCCCATGTTGAAATGCTTACCAAAGTCTCAAGCCACCTACGTCATCGAGGAGATCCACCAAGGAATATGCGGTATGCACTCCGGGGCACGCACGATGGCGACCAGGGTGCTCCAGGCTGGATACTACTGGCCCATACTGAAGTCGGATTGCCAAGATTATGTGCAAAGGTGCAAAGAATGTCAGTAATTCGGCAATACACATCGGCAACCACCTGAAGTCCTCCACAAAATGATGTCACCGTGGCCCTTTGCCTAGTGGGGAATGGACATCCTCGGACCATTTCCCCCCGTGAAAGGCCAACTCAAATTCCTCCTTGTGGCAGTCGACTACTTCACCAAGTGGATTGAGGCATGCCCACTTGCAAAAATCACCGCCGAGAACGTGCAAAAGTTCACCTGGAAGAACATTATTTGCAGGTTCGGTATCCCACATTCCCTCGTCACCAATAATGGCAGACAATTCATTGCACAAAGCTTTGAGAATTTCCTCCGCGAACTCGAAATCAAGCACCTTCCAACCTTGGTGGAGCACCCCCAAACCAATGGCCAAGCCGAAGCCGCGAACAAGGTAATACTCCGAGAACTCAAAAAGCGACTAGGGAGTTCCAAGGGACAATGGGTTGACAAGCTCCACAGCATTCTCTAGGCGTATCATTGCACCCCTCAATCAACAACACAAGAAATGCCATACAGGCTGACCTACGAAGCCGACGCCATGATCCCAATTGAGGTCGGCGAGACGTCTCATCGGCGTCATACCTTCAGCAATGAGCAAAACACTCAAGAAACAGAAGCCAATCTTGACCTAATAGACGAAGTTCGATAAGAAGCTCGGATCAAAGAAGAAGCCTGCAAATTGCGTGCCTCTAGACGTTACAATACTAAGGTCCGACCTCGCTCTTTTCGAGTCAGGGACCTGGTATGGAGACTACAAGGAGAAGCACGAAAAGACCCATCGGAAGGGAATCTCGCACCTAACTAGGACGGACCATTCTGCATTACGGACAGTCTGGGTAATGGAGCCTACCGAATAGAAGAACTCAGTGGCAAAGCCATTCCAAGAACTTGGAATGCCACTCACCTAAAATTTTACTTCAGTTGAAATGTACGAATGGGGTGTTACACTTTTTTCCCTACCCAGTCTTTTATCCCAAAAAATAGAAAAATGGGTTTTGGCTGAGAGAGTTTTTAACAAGACGCACCCACAACATCAAATAAGAATGGATCACTTTACTCATACTTATTCAATTCCACAATGTCTAAACTATATTGAGTTTAAGCTGAATTCGAACCTTAGCGCGATTCGCAGTAAACCAAGGTCGAGTTCGAACCTTGGCATGATTTTGCTAAACCAAGGTCGAGTTCGAACCTTGGCACGACTTATGCTAAACCAAGGTCGAGTTCGAACCTTGGCACGATTTATGCTAAACCAAGGTCGAGTTCGAACCTTGGCACGATTTATACTAAGCCAAGGTCGAGTTCGAACCTTAGCATGACTTATATTAAGCCAAGATCAAGTTCAAACTTTTGCGCAAATTATACTAATGGTCAAGTTTGAACGTTAAGGCCAAGCATTAGCCTTAATGCAAAAATTACAAGTCAAGCCAGAAATTCAAAAGTTTAAATCAGAAGTTTGCTTTCAAACAGTAACGCAAAAGGCAATATCTATACATAGCAAATTCATTCAAACAATAATAAGTTCGACACAATACTAAAAGCAAACAAAATAAACTAAGTTATTATAGACAGCCTAGGTGGCAGTATTCTCGCTCGAGCTCTCCAGAAGGTCATCTTCGTTCACCAACTGACCACCACACACGTCCTTGTCAACGTGCATCATGGAGAAGTCCACCCCGGGAGAAGTCCCCCTCTTGTGCTCTACCAAAACGGCTCGCTCAGTCTTGACGAGCCTCTTCTCCAAGCTCGCCCTCGCTACAGCCATCGCATCAAGGTCAGCCTTCAAGGCCCCAAACTCCTCCTCCTTGCCAACCAAAAACACCTCGTCACAAAGGTGCTTCTCGGTAGCCTCCCTCAGATCGGCCTGCAACACCATGTTCTCCTCCTCTAAGGTCAGAACCTGGCCCCATGAAGTCTCCGCCTCGACTTTGTAGACCTTGGAAACCTCTTGCAAGTTGCCAACCTGGGCGGCATACG